TTCCGACATGAACCTGTGTCCTCCATCAGCCCCACAGGGACTAAACACCTGTGCCAGGAGCCCCCTCTCCTGACTCCACACGAACAGCTGCTGTGGGGCTGATCCAGTCCTGTTGTAGGACTGCCCATGAGTCCCAGCCTGTTTCCCTGTGCTGCAGGTGATCTGCCTGACCGTCCTGGCGTCGGTGCGAATCTACTACCAGTACCGGCTGGTCAAGTCGGTCACCAGGGAGCTGGTGGTGCGCGACCCGTACGCGCTGAAGCCCGTCCGCAAGCTGATCGACGCCTGTGCCTTCAGGACCTACCGGCACTGGGTGAAGAAAGGGGAGGCACAGAACAGAGCTGCCCTCTTTGAGAACACCTGCAAGGCTGTTCTGCTGACCCTGGCAACAGAGGAAGGGCTGTTTTGATCACCACTGTGTTAAGCCCATGAGTTTGCTCACAATAGGCGAGTAAAATCTTTAAAAACCAACCAGTGATTCTTGGTGTTTCTTTCATTTCACTGGCCTGAGGTCAGGTGCAAAGGCAAACCCAGCAGATGGCTGCAATTTCCCCCTGGGGTATGTCCGGATGTGAGGGATGGGTTTGGAGAAAACACCTTTCAGCAGAGCATAACCAGCTGCAGATGCCAATGGGGAAGGCTCAGCCCTGGGCACAGCTGGGCACCTTCAAGTGCCTTCTTTGGGACAGCTGGAGGTCGAGGAGGGATGAGCAGTGCTCAGAACAGTATCCTTATCCACCTGTTTGCTTGGGGCTCCTGGTCCCATCAGGTTTGGTGCAGAGCTTGTGCACAGTTTGTAGCCTTTATGCTAGTGGTAATACCATAGAGAGCTGGGTCACTGTTTTGTGTCATCTGTGCATTTAGAAACGAGCACACACATCATTTTGTCACTGCTCAAGGGTTAATAAAGGTCCCTTGTTTTACTTCTGGGAAGGTTCAGTAGATAGTACACAGCTGGAACTTCCCAAGGAGATGCAGCCTGATGTACAAGTGCCTCTTCTAGGGATGTGTCCCATCACTTGCCCACTGGCAGCTGTTCCTTACAGCAGCTCCACAGTGGTGGTCGCAGTGAGGCTGGGGGTGTTTGTTCACTCTCCCACTGGCAGCAGTCCCACAGTGGTGGTCACAGTGAGGCTGGGGGTGTTTGTTCACTCTGGCTGGGGCTGGAGGTCAGAGTAGCTCTGGCCCAGCCCCACATACATGCTTACTCAAAAAGGACACCCACAGGAGAGCTGGAATATCCACTGCACCAAAAGGACATTAAAGACAAACCCACCTTGCCTGCCATTCCCAATCGCTGCTCCCACCCTGTCCCAGTGCTGAAAGGAGCTTTAGCTGAAAGTATTAATTTTTAAAACCATCAGGGTTTAATGGAAGTGACACCGGGGGTTACTGCTCATCTCCACAGGAGAAAATGCCTCAGGTGTTCCCAAGTGACACCCTCAGAGCTCGGGTTTGGTCCGGCTTTTCTGGGCTGTGACAGGAGGGATGTCGGCAGCACAGCGGAAGCTCAGGTTGTCAGAGGCTGAGTCTGGTGTGTTCCCCATCCTCACAGGGAAAAGAGACCCAAAATTAGGGATTCTTCCTAGTGAGCACATCCTAGAATGTGACCTGCTATAACAGACTAGAGACATCTACTTCCCTTGAATAACTGCAAGAAAAACATTTAATTCTCAATACCTGGTGGAAAACACACACATGGCTGGAGAAGCAATTAGGAATGTATTTATAGCAGGAAAAGTTTTTAGCCATATTTGTAGTATGTTCTCCCAACTGCTGCTCAGAAAATCTGAGTAGGAATAAACAATTCTCTTTTAAACTAACCCCCCCTCCAAATAAAACCAAGCCAGAGGAAATCCCTGCAAAGCAGCACCTGGGCCTTGCCCAGACCTACCTGGTGGTAACATGAGCTCTGTGGTTTGCAGACCCATCTGCAGTGTCAATCCATGAGGCTCCTCTCAGGACCTGCATGTTCTGAGCTCGCTGCCTGGATGGCTGCCCTCGAGCCAGGTATTCCGACCCTGTCCATTCCCAGGTGTTTCCCAGCAGGTCGTAGAGTGGCTGCCCTGGAGCCAGGTATTCCGACCCTGTCCACTCCCAGGTGTTTCCCAGCAGGTCGTAGAGCCCTGAGACATGGATGGTTTTGTGTCAAGATTATGAGAGCACATTTGCAAGGACTGCAAAGCTCTTTGGTGTATGGCAGGAGGCACAACATTGAATGCATCACTGCAAGAGTTTGGTTTAATGGTGAGACTGGGAACCAGAAGATCTTCACTGTACTTCAAACTGGCCCCAGTTTATAACTGGGCCTTTAATGTGTCTCATCTCTGTGAGGGCACAGCATCCCCTGCCCTCCAAACAAGGGCTTGGGATTTTCAGATAAATCACACTGAAGTGCAAAATAACTTCTAACTAAAAGCAGAAGGTGGTTTGATGCATTGAAGGGCACTGGGTTCACATCAGCAAACTTCAGCACCAACCATCAATGCTTTTCCTGGGCTTGGTTACTCCATCAAGATGCTGATATGATCCCACATCGCATCTGAAACTCTACCATGACAGGATCTTATAATTAGAGCTAATTTAAGAAGCAGATGCTGTGCCCCAGAGCAGGATGAGGATGCCTGCTCCATACCATAGCTGTTCTGAGGAGGGAATGCTGTCACTGGTGAGACGCCGTGATAACCATCCTCAGCCGTGTCGACCCGTGGGAAATCACCCTGTGGGAAGAGAGGTCACTCTGAGCAAAGCACCACCACAGGAACAAGCTGAAGTCCTGCTCTTCACAGGGCTGTGTTACACTTACACCAGGCAAATAAAAACACACCCCTAGGAGAGCTCAGCGTAGGTGGGATGATTTTTTAGGCTCTTACCTGCCATAGATTTGTACGGTTAGGCTGGAACTTGTTTCCCCAGGGATACAGCCTTCCTGCCATGAGGAAAAGACACCTGTGTCACTCCAATTTGTAACCAGGCTTTTATGACTGGTTTGATCATTATAGGAACAGGATTTGTGGGTCTAATCCAGACACTGCCAAAGAAGGCAAGCAGAGATGGAAATCAGCAACAGCTTAATTGCTACTCATTATTATTACTATTGTTGTTATTATTATTAGAGTCCCAACCCAAAAAAAAGGTGGTTCAACCCTCCTCAGATTAACCTCTGAAAACATCCCTGGATGGAGGTTTGGATCTGGCAGAACTAACACTACTCTTTGCCTCTCTTTGGAAAAAGGTCAGAGCTTGTGGTACATACGCTCCAGTCCTCCCCTGGCAGCAAACTCCCACTCCTCCTCCGACAGGAGCCTCTTCCCTTTCCAGGCACAGAAAGCCTTTGCATCATTCCAGCTCACGTGCAGCACTGGGTAATCCAGCCTGTCCTTAATGCTGGAGCCAGGACCTGAAGGCTAGGAAAAATTGCATGAAGCAGATTTGAATTGATTTTATAAACTTTTCAATTAAAAACGAAATAAAGGATGGAACAGGTGAAGGGATGGAACATGCAGCAACAAGAGTTGCTGTTTTTAACTGCATTTTTGGTTGACAAGGTTCAGCACACATTAACACACACACTCCCAGCACAGAGAGGATTCACCACACCAGATTTTTACTCACCTGTCTCCAAAAAGCCTTCTCAATGGGCAGCCACCACGGGGCTGACTGGGGAAAGAAGTGACACCAGGTTAAAGGTGAACTGGTAACACCCCCAACACCATCCCACAGCAGCATGTGTTAGTCTGGAACAGGTTAAATGCTGCAGTTTGAGTTATCACAGGCATTTGGGTAGTGCTTTCCCACAGAGCAGAGGCATCTGCTTTTAGAAGTGAAAATAGATCAAGAGGCTCATGCTGGTACAGTTTTTCTATTTTAAAGTTTGATTATTAAAGTATTTTGAAATGTACTTTGCTTCCTCCCAGCTCTCTGGAGCAGCTCAGGAGTCCAGTCTGACAGTGTTCAGAGAATGCAAACAGAGGAGCATGAATCAGCCCAAGCTCAACCCTGCTGTCAGGTTCAAAAGCAAAACAAGCCCAGACTAAAGCAAAACCACTGAGCACAGCCAGGCCCTACACTGAGAGGCAGCTGCTCCTCAGGGGAAAAGCAAAACCATCATCCCTGAAACTCCTCCCCATGGGATTTAGATTTACCTCCAGTTTTTGGGTGACTTTTTTTTTCAGCTCTTCAGGTACGAAATCCTCAAAGACAAAGCTCCAGCCAAATGCTTCTGCTTCTGTTTTGTATTTCTTTTCTCTAACAAACTCCCTGGCATAAATACAACACACTCAGGTGTCTGGGAAAGAGATCTGCATGTGCAACAAGCTCAGAGCAAGGCAAAAGGTACACGACCCACAGACTTCCCATCTCCAGAGTCCTCCCCAGCACAGCTCCAAATGACTCGATACAGATTTAACAGATGAATGTCCAATGTGCATCTGTTCACAGACCTGATAGTTTTTATGTTACCTGTGCAGGCAAACTCAACCCTGGAGGAAGAAGAGGAATAGAGGATGAGGATGAGGAGCAGGAGGAGGAGGAGGAGAAGGAGGAGAAGGAGGAGAAGAAGAAAAGAAGAGGAAGAAAAGAGAAGGCAAAGGATAAAAAGAGAAGAAAATGAAAGGAAGGATGTCTGCAAGCTGCACTTGGAGGAGGAGAAGGAGGAGAAGAAAAGAATGGGAAGAGAAACCAAAGGATAAAAAGAGGAAAAAACGAAAGGAAGGATGTCTGCAAGCTGCACTGGTAAGATACTCAGGTTTGCACCCACAGAAATGATTTATTACTGACAGACACATTTTTTGTTCAAATGAAACACTGGGAGCACCCAAGCATTGGCTTTCAGACTCCAGGAACCAGCCCCAAACAACACCTGCACCTTCTCCACAGCCACCTGAGGCACCAAGGCCCCAGGACCCAGCAGAACCTTCACTCTCACCTGAAGTCTCTATTTGTGACGGGGAATTTGTCGACAGCAAACGGCTTCACTGTCACCTCCCTGGCAGGCCCCTCCTCGTTCCTCTTCTCCAGGGAGCTGGATCCCATCTGGAACGTCCCTCCGGGCAGCTGCACCATGCTTCCATCCTTTCCAAACTCTACAAGTGAACGGATTCAATATGTGAGCTTTCATTTCCAAACACATGCTAGCGCCAGAAAGTCACTGTATGCACTGGAGGAGTGCGCTACACCAGGGACTGTGATTCGCTTTTGTACAGCTCTGGGGGGTTTTGATAACAAGATTTAAGCCACTCAGTGTCCCTCGGGCAGGGAGCAGCTCTCCCAGGGATGGGCAGGCGGCTCCCCCAGGGAATTGCTGGCCGCAGGGAGCAGCGCGGGGGTGCGAGGTTTGGGCTGGCGTGGCACTCACCGCGCTGAGCGCTGCCGCCCAGCACCGCCCAGCACAGCAGAAGTGCCATCCCCGGGCCAGCACTCGCCATCCCGCCCGCTCCAACCCGGAGGTGCTGCGCGCTCGGGAAGTGCTTCCGGGCCCTGCCCACGCCGCTCGGGGTGGGTAGCTCAGCAGCTCCGAGCGCATGGTCCGTGCGGGAGGAAAAGGGGCAGTGCTAGAACAGGGAAGTTACACGCAGAGGGGGAAAGGCATTTCGCCTCCTGCCACCGGAGCCACCCGCAAAACCATCACCGGCCCCGGGCACGTGCTAGAGGGGCTCGTTTTGTTGTATTTTGTTGGG